TATGCGTGCGTTCAAGTATCTGTTTTTGTCTGTTCGTGTGTTTTTTAAGTGTGGTTGTGTGAGTGAATGTGTGTGGATGTTGTCTATCTAATCTTCCGAATAATTTACCCGCATTATTTATCCTTAAATCTCTCAATAATTACCACCATCATCAACATTAACATCATCCTCTACAACATCAACACCATAATTATCACCACCACCACGACCACCATCACCACCAACCACCACCGCCTACATTTTCAACAGAAACAAACAAAACTAAATTAGGAAATTCTTCAATCAGGGAAGATAAAAAACAGAAATAAACAACGAAAGTATATATCTACTTCAAGGGCGGATCTGGCTGGGGGCGGGCCAAAATTTTAAAAAATATTTGACGACCGGGAAACGGTTAGGGAAAGGGAGAACTTTTTCCGGAAAAGTTGGCCCCCTGAGGTACAATATTTTTACGACCAGGGCCAACTTTTCTGCTAATGGACCTATAATGTCCACTTTCCCTTCAAAAAGATTACTTTTCCGTTAAAATAACGACTTTCACTAACTTTTAACACAACGGGAGAGTCCCCACCCGGCCCTACCCCTTAGATCCGCCACTGTATACATTAGAATGAATTATTATAGTGACACAGTTTCACTATTAAAATTTACAAATACAGAATAACATGAGACAGTCATGAAAACATTGTGCCCGAGTCTGTGCAAATATGGATTTGATTGAAACCGAATAATTTTAATTACACAAAACGGGATGAATTTTATTTAGCAAGAGAGCCTGCGTGATAAATAAATGTCACAGGCACGAATGGAAAGGAGAATTTTTGAAAATTTCACAAGTCTTTTTATCAAACAAAAAACTAAATAAAGTTTAAAATGGAGAGAAACAAATCAAAATTAGTAGTCAGAACTTCATTCTTTGCGATAAAATATCATTTTGTGGTTATCACGCGATAGTCTGCTTTCAATACTGTCCGTACAAAACTGATAAACTCAGATGCCAAGCTTGTACGATGTATGGTGCTTTCGATCTTGCATACAAGATGTGTGTGCGTGTGTGTGTGCGTGTGTGCGCGTGTGTGCGCGTCGTGTGGATAGTCTACAGCACGAAGGTTTAAACATAGAAATGAAATGCAAACAGAGAACCAAAAAATAATAATAATTTATTCATTTTTTTTATATTGCTCGTTGGTTGATTGGTCACAGATTCAAATCACATCACGTTGAATACTATTCTCAACTAATCAACAAACAACAATCAGTGCATCTAAATATTGATTGGCTAATAAACCAATATTCAAATTCGAACGGGCCAATGAGATCGCAGCGTTTAAACCGAAGCCTCCCTCACCTTGCTCATGATTGGCTTATCTTCGTCCTTATCAATGGGCAAGCTAATACTGTGGATCCAGGCTTTAGTAAGATAGTGACGCAGACGAACAAAGGATGACCTTGATTTCAACCAATCAGTGATAGGCAATGTAGGTTAAAAAGTTTTTAAAGTGTGGCGTACCGATTTGTATTACATAATTTTATTTCTCTGAGACGTACTTCTCAGAATTTTCAGACCTTTTTTTAGTTTCTTGTAAAGAAATTGTATAAAAATGATGACACGCAAACTACAAGAGCCGCAGAAACAAACGCATGAAAGCAAAAACATTACCACCGCCACCAATAATTTTGAATCATTAAACGATAACAGTACTCTATTACAAAACCTCAAAAAATTTATTTCACCAAAAAAATCCTCCCCAAAAAAGCCACGCTCTCCGATTAGTACTTAAAAAATAACCTTTGACACCTAACCTTGGAACCGTGCTATCGGAGGTCATAGTGGTGGGGTCCAATTCAAATATGGAGGCCATGTCGTGGCCGTGGGGTACGGAGACCAGGCAGTAGACCGGGGCCTGTGGATTGCCCCGAAGTTTCGTCCGCATGGGATCACTGTTGGGGTCGTTGTCGACCTGATTGATGGTTTATTTAGGGATGGGCAGGTGTCTGAGGTTGTATTTCTTCTTATCGTTTGTTTGTTAATCTATGTTTTTACGTTCGTTAGTTTCTTTCACTCATTCGTTCATCCATTCACCAATCCATCCATCCATCAATCATTCCATTCATCAATCCATCCATCAATCCATTCATCAATCCATCCATCAATCCATCCATCAATCAAGGAAACCTCTGCAGCCAGGTAATGACCGGAAGCCAGATGTTTGAAGCGAAAGAGGCTGTTCCAATGTCCCGCCCCTCCTCTGCATGGATCGTCGTGCACAACCTGCAGCCATTTACGACGCATGTACGCAAAAATAAAAATTCCGAGAACGAGAGAAAGAGAGAGGAAAGAGAGAAAAAGAAAGAAAAAAACAAAAGGAAAGAGAGAGGAAAGAGAGAAAAAGAAAGAAAAAAACAAAGCCACACACACACACACACACACACACACAACTTCCAACAGCGCATCCAAAGAGGCAGCTGCAGCAGCAGAAGTTCTACCAGTGCTTCTCAGGAAGAAGAGAGAGAAAGAGAGAAAAAGAGAGAGAGAGAGAGAGAGAGAGAGAGAGAGAGAGAGAGAGAGAAGGAGTAGAGACAGACAGACAGGCAGGCAGCTAGCAGCAACCTCAACTTCCCAGAGGGCGTTGGAGCTGGTGGCGGCCGTGGCAGATGTTCTTCCGGTGGTCCTCAGAAAGACGTAGTGCTTCTTCTTGTATTCATCGCCCGTCAGAAACTTCTCTTGCTCCGCGTGGAAGAGTCTAACTACGTCACCCTGATGACGGTGATGATGATGATGATGACGGTGATGATGATGATGGTGGAGGTGATGATGATGGTGGTGATAGTGGTGATGGTGATGGTAGTGGTGATGATGATGATGGTGATGGCGAAAATGAAAAAATCGTTGAAAGAAAACTAAATGATCTGTCTGTATTCCCAAGCAACGGTTTAATAATCATCCTTATTGTCGTCATCATACTCCTCATCATCGTCATCCTCATCATCATTGTCATCATCATCGTCAAAATCATCATCATCATCATCACCCCTTTCAAGACGGTCTCAATGTTCTCGTGGAAATCCATGAAAAGATTGACCTTCCAGCACGTGTTCGAGTTCACCGAGTTCACCTGGAGTGATGAGGTCATCATCATCATCACCCTTATCGTCATCACCATCATTATCATCCTCACCCTTATCATCATCATCTTCATCGCCATCATCATCATTACCTCTTTACATCCGGGGTTATCGGGTAGGTCGAGATTGCTGGCGTGGAGCGGCTGCGTCGAGTTGACCGAACTCAAGATGACCTTGTCGCCGACCATGACCTTCAGAAAGGGCGCGGTCATTAACATAATTTATTCAAGTTGGCTTTATCATCATGCCAACTTCCCACTTCGTTATCATAAAATATTCACCCACTCATCCATTCAATCGTCAGTTTATCAATCCATCCACTCATCCATCCATCGATCTATCCATCCAACCATCCATCCATCCATTCATCTATCCACCAAACGTACCCACCTTATCTCCGGGGGACCTGAGTTTGTAGAAGGGTAGTATGGTGAGCCACGAGCCCTCGTTTCCCGCCGCGTCTAGGGTCACCCGCATGGCATTCTTCTCCATCTGAGCTGGAAGCCGCTTGTTCACCGTTATGAATTTGTTACTCTTCAAATGGAGGAGCTTTGTAGGGGAGGTAATAGTAGTAGTAGTAGTAGTAGTAGTAGTAGTAGTAGTAGTAGTAGAAGTAGTAGTAGTAGTAGTAGTGGTGGTAGTAGTAGTAGTAGTGGTGGTTAGTAGTGGTAGTAGTAGTAGTAGTAGTAGTAGTAGTAGTACTTGTAGTAGTAGTAGTAGTAGAGGTAGTAGTAGTTAGTAGTAGTAGTAGTAGTGGTGGTGGTGGTTGTGGTGATGACGATGATGGTGATGATGATGATGACGATGATGACGATGATGGTGGTGGTGGTGATGATGATGCACACTTGAATACTGTTTCCATAAGTGATAGGCATCCCGAGTGATTTCTTGTATTCCAATTCGTTCTGTTTTTTCTCTTGTTCGGCTGCATTCTAAAATTCATCCATTCATTCATTCATTCATTCATTCATTCATTCATTCATTCATTCATTCATTCATTCATTCATTCATTCATTCATTCATTCATTCATTCATTCATCTATCCATTCATTCATTCATACATTCAATCATTCATTCATCCAACTAACGCTGAGTTTTTTTAGTAGGGACAGATCCGTATTAACGTTTGTTAGGTTGGCGTTGTTGTTCTGCTTGGTGGCCTTCCAGAACTGCTTTTGAGCGGAATAGCGGTTATTCGGACAGACTTTGAATAGGCAATCTGTGTGTGTGTGTGTGTGTGTGTGTGTGTGTGTGTAGGTGTGTGTGTATGTGAGTGCGCGTGCGTGTGTGTTTGTGTGTGTTTATTTGGGTGTATGCATGTGTGTACGAGTAGGGAATGAATGAAATTTGACAATTATAAATGTATCTCTCTGTGCTGTAAGCAATACAAATGTAAGAACGATGAAAGAACCTACAAAAGAACAAACAAACGAACGAGTGAATGAATGTATGAACGAACGAACGAACGAACGAACGAACGAACGAACGAACGAACGAATGAATGAGCGAGCGAACGAACGAACGAACAAACGAACTTGAAAAGTAATCAAACTACCAAAGGAAAATATATGAGAAAATACACAGATCAATTGCACGGCTTGATCAAATCAATCGTAATAACGAAAGAGCTGTGAAAAAAGTTTGAAACTATATGATAGAATGAAAGAAAAAATGACAGATACATAGATGGATGGATAGATAGATAAATGAATGGATGAATGAATGAATGAATGAATGAATGAATGGATGAATGAATGAATGGATGAATGAATGGATGAATGAATGAATGGATGAATGAATGAATGGATGAATGAATGGATGAATGAATGAATGAATGGATGAATGAATGAACGAATGAATGAATGAATGAATGAATGAATGAATGAATGAATGAACGAACGAATGAATGGATAGATAGATAGATAAATAAATGAATGCTCATAGCAAACCAGATGGAATTAACATAAAAAATATGAGGATGATAAAAGATGATAAAAAATTGCGTGCTCTCGTGTGTAAATAATTAAATAATAATAATAATAATAATATTATTATTATTATTATTTTATTACTACGATA